AATTCACATTTAATTAATTAATATTATGAGGGTGTGTGGATTTGGTTCCGGAGGTTGATGTGGTTGTTTGTCCAAAATAGGCCACCGCGTGCAGGCCGGAGGGAAAATTTCCTATAGCAGATAAAAGGATGTTCTCCAATCATCACAATGATGCCAATGCTTTCTAGCATATTATTTAATTAATATTTTGTTTGATTGTTAGATAACCTAAATTATGCTCCAACGGTTTAAGCAAAACCAATTCCCTGAAATCTTTAATTTTTCTTAACACTGATAATGAATGTATGTTTTTTTTTTTTGGAGTGGCAGTCATCACAATCACATATTTTAAGAGGTTGTTTGATAGAATAGTTTGAAATTAACTCTTAGCTATTTCATTAAATTTAATAAATAAAGTTGTTTGAATTAATAATAATAATAATAATTATTAACCATTAAATTAACGAAACTACCAGTATTTAGTTTCAAACCATTATAACCAAACGAGCCTTTGAGATTGTTGTGTTGTAATGGATTCTGCCTATGTCGTGCAATTAGATCGCCAAAAGTTATGTTATAATATGTTTGGATTGAAGAAAATAAAACGGAGGGAAGAGGAGAAAAAAATTTTTTTACTTAATTATTAAAAAAATTGAAGGGGAGGGAAAAGTTTTCTTTTATTTTTTTCTTTTTATTTAGTTATTTATTCAAATAAAGGGAAAAAAAGGGAATGGAGGGGAACGAAGGGGAACGGAGGGGAAAAATTCCTCTTCTTTTCATTTCCCTCAATCCAAACATAGGTTAGGTTAGTGTTTGACGATTATTTTTCAAATATATTGTATGGCTTTATGAAATGCAAAATTAGCCAGGAGAACCGAAAAACTGTGGAGAAAATTAGGCAATCCCAGTCCCCAAAGGATAACGTAATTTGATGCAGACATATTTCCTCCAGCCCACGATTAGATTTCAGGTCAATTCAATAAGATACGATGGATATTGTAATCCGCCTTAATCAAGGTAAAACAAACCTCCTCGCTTGATCTTAGAAGGTTAATTGATCCCGATTAATTAGGGTTAGGTGATCCGCTAATCAAAGCTGCTTTCCTTTTTAAAAATTTATATTGCCTTTCCTCGGAAACAATGACAAATTTCTGATGAATTCGCGGTTGTGATAGCAATCGGATGATTCCGTGGGCACACAACGCAAGTTATTTGAGTCAAAGTTATAAAAATAATGTTGTCATATAAGTTAGGTTAATGTCTAAGTTTTGTACTGTTTTTGAATCTTAAAAAAATTATTTTTTTTAAAAAAAGAGAAAATTAAGATATATTCTTATTAAAAATATCAAATTGTATAATATAATAAGGGGTTAGTGTTTATTCGCCTTACCTCCAAAAATTTAGGAGAAAAAAGAACAAAAATCACCTTAATGCATACTTTAAAAATAAAGTAATTTAATCTTTTTTAATACAAATTTATTAAAACGACATAGTTTTGGGATAATTTTCTTCTTAATCTTTAAGAGTAAAGCTGATAGGCACTATTTCCATATAATAATAATCATACAATAAATTTAATAAAGTTAGAATTTATATTATATCTCACATATTTAATTGTTGTGATTAGATGTTAGGATATTTTAATTTTCTGTTCTCTTTTTTAAAATTTATCAAACGAATTTAGATGTATACACATGCTTGAGATTTTTGGAGAAGGAATTAGCCTCAATATACAATTTAACTAACCTAATTTGAAGACCCATAAAAAAAAATAATAGAGAATAAAAACAGTTCATATTTAGGAAAATTCAAAAGGGTTTCCTTCTGACTGATTTTGTAGGTCTTCCTTTTGACTTCCTAACTGCATGTGCATGGTGTTATTTTTTCTTTTGGAAATAATTGCATGATGTTATTGACCGTGGACTATTTGGATGTGGGGTATATATATATTTTCCAAGAGGGGTAAACAAAAATTAAAATATTAAATAAACAACCCATAACTGTTAATGCATAGGAATGGGGTGTGTTATTATGATCTCTTCATTCAAATGAATTAGGTTTAGTACCAAATGTCTCTAATACCACAATTAATGAGGTGTAATCATGATCTTCATTCAAATGATATGAGTAGTAATAATTATTTGTTGTCAATCCACATGCACCAAATTTTTCTCTCTTTTTTTTTTTTTTGGCAATATTGATTTTTTTTCAAAATTTTTAGAAACACAAAATTTAAATTTATTTATTAATGTTCTCATCATGACGTTTAACAATGAGGTTTCGGTTGATAATAGTCTCAATATTGATTGTGGCCAATGTGATATAATATTACTACAAAATCAATTTATAATAAGTGAGTAGTTCAATTTTGATATTTACCTTACATATTTTTTTGTTATTAACTCATTGACGAAATAGCGATATTATATTTAAGTTATAAATCAAAATCATACCCTAGCGTGATAAAAAGTGGAAGGAGGTATATGTACTATGTTATTTCTCAATATCGTGTGCAACTTATGTACAAAAAGAAGTGAGAATTTAGTCTAGTGATAAAAATGATCAACTGAATTCTCAGTGATCCCGAGTTGAACTTTTGAGTTCTAGATCCCTAAGAGTACTAGTACTGAAAAGTGGGAACAATACCAACTTATCATATTTATATCATTACACCATGTTAAAGGGAAATGATGATTCGGTGTAGTTGTTTCAAAGGTGGAAGCTTTAAGAATGTCATGCCGCTAAAAGTAGAAACTAACAGAGGCCTACAAGGATTCTGTAAAATTTGGTTGTTGCTGCTACGTAAACCAACTCTAACCTAATGCTTCCTTCTGAAAAGAAATGCTGCAAAATCACACCCCCTGCTGGCCGACAAACTTCCATTTTTATATAAGTAACATTGACTTTCATTGTTTTCCCTCATTCTACACTAACATGGTATCCTAGACAAGTTTGATCATACCAAGTAACCCTCCATTTTGATTAAAAGCATTCTTTATATCACAAGCGAGTTTATAATACATAAAGAACTATCTCCTCCTTACCTTTTTCTAAAAATCGAACTTCAGTTAACTAGTAGAGAAGAAACCCCCTTACAACCAACTAATTTTTTGGGTTATGATATTATAATGTTGGATTAGCTCCAACTACTCTCTCTTCCCCCTTTCTATATATATATATATCAATTTAAATGGCTCTTCACAGATATCCAATCCAATTTGTATACAATTCTGAGCAGCAAATTACGGGCCCATCTATCATTTTTTCACTTTATAATAAAGGCCCATCCATATATCTCAAACTTGGATGATCTATTGGTCCAAGCCCTTTAACAGTAAAAGCCAAGCCCACTTCTTAAACCCCTCCAAGGCTCCAACAATTGACAAAACCCACAGTGCCAAGAACCATAACCACGCCTCCGCATCAACGCCATCTCCATTCCCAATTTGACAATGTCAACGTGGTGGCTGACGGTGGTGCGGACCCAGAACGCGCCACCATTCTCTTACTCTAGCAGGGACCGAGCTCAGGGC